AAGTCTGGTAACATATTAATATTCAGTTATTTATTCCCATTTGCAAAATCACTGCAAAATGTGTGAGCACCCCTAATGCTGGCACGCGCCCCCTGAAAAATACCAATTAAATACCCCCAAAAATACCGCAGGCCGCTCTCTCCTCTCCAAAATATGCAGTCTGAGGTTTTTTTATTTTGAATCAAATTTAAAGTCACTAATTTCTATGAAATTAAGCATTTAACTAGCCTTTGACCGAGTGATTCGAGTGCCCCAGAGCCAGCCGCCCGCCCCCCGACCGCCCAAGCAACGCGGGCAACCCAAGAAGAGCCCCAAAAGATCGGAAGAAGTTAATCGGAAGACGGCGTGCCGCAAACCACAGAAGAGAGCGAGGTGCATGCAGCACGTTGTAATTAGGTTAGCCATACAGCAGCACCACATAACATCATAACATGGCACAGCAGCAGGGCATGGACTCGGCCTTGTTCGAGCGGCGACTGCGGCCGGTCTACGGTGAGTGCTCCCCTGGAATGGAAATGCTAATTAGGCCACCGGCTAACCCCAATCCCACCGCCGATCCTTCACAGACAACCTTGAGGTGGGCAACAACCGCAAGGCCCTGCAGGAGTCCGAGAAGCTGCTGCGCAAACATCCCACCCTGCTCTGCGCCCGTGCCCTGAAAGGACTATCCCTCCTCCGTCTGGGACGCTACGATGAGAGCCACGGATGCCTCCAGACCGTCGCCGAGGAGAAGCCCACGGATGACTCCACGCTGCAGGTGCTATCCTTCTGCTACCGCGAAATGGAACAACGTACGTATGGATTAGGGATTAAGACATCACAGCCTATTGGGAACATAGTAGAATTGAATCAAAAGACTTATTGAGTCAGACTTTTGTCAGGATGATTCATTGATTAATAAATCCAAGAACTGTAGGTTCCGGGTAGGACAAATCAAATATTAGGGTCAATGTTATCACACCTAACTAACTTAACCATCTAGGGACAAGGAAGAAGACATATTATCTTAAGTATCCCAGGTTAGACAAAAAGATAACAAAAGAACTTCTGCATAAGATATGAGGTTAGCCCTGCAAGAAATAATAGTTGATAAGGTGTAGAGATGAAGAAGATAAACTGGAACCATCAACTACAAGCCACTATTTGGGCAATGATAAATAGGTTTTTTTAAACCAAATAATATGTATCTTAGGACCATATCTGTGTATTTTTAAATTTCCTAAATTTCAAACTTATTATGAAAGGATATATATTATGTGTTTATTCAATATATTTGAAAATATTCATAAGGTTTCAATAGATTAAATAAGAAATTTATTACAGCTAAACCAAAATACAAAAAAAAATGTTATTGCAAAGAAAATTTAAAAATTTTGAGGTTGCACTTAATTTTATTCCTTCTGTAAATTAAAATGTAAGCTAAAGTAATTTTTAGAAATCGTACGATTTTAGTGATTTATTCTTATCCGATCAAAATTTTAATTAGCTGTCAAGTAATTAAAATACTGTGTCAGATCAAAGGTTAAAACTCTATGAACGTAATTTTACCCATACAAAGTTCGATTTTTTTTATGAAAACCATGTGGATCCACACGTCTACTTTTACCCACATCTGCCACATGGTAGCCACTAAGTTTATCCCCCAGAGACGCCCCTGGCACGCACACGAAGTGCCCACAATTCATATTTTCGTATTTTCTTGGCACGCGCACCTCGCCCGACTAATTAAAATCACATTCTCTTAGTCGGACGACGGGCGGCAAGTGCGTGCCAACGATTTGAATATATAGATACCTGTACCTGCAAAAGCAATAGCTAATTATATATAAATATCCGCCTCTTTGCAGTGGACAAAATTGTGGAGCTGTACCAGCACGCGGTGAAGCAGAATCCGGGCAACGAGGAGCTGCTCGCCCACCTCTTCATCTCGCATGTGCGGGTGGAGGACTACAAGGCGCAGCAGGCGGTAGCCCTGCAACTGTACAAGGCTCAGCCGAAGAATGCCTACTACTTTTGGTCCGTGATCAGCGTAGTCTTCCAGGGAATTCGGGGTCCGGAGTCGGCGCTGCCCGAGAAGCGGAAAATCTATCTGGGACTGGCGCAGCGCATGGTCGACAAGCACATCAAGGAGGGCAAGTTGGAGACGGAGCAGGAGGCCTTCCTCTATCTGCACATCCTCAAGCTACAAAACAAGTACCAGGAGGCGTGGGAATTTCTCACTGGCGAGCTGTGCGCCAAGCTCTATCCGGGTGCTCCAGTCAGCATGAAGTTCGAGCTGCTCAAGGAACTGGGTAACTGGCGGGAACTGAATGAGCTGTTGCAGCAGCTCCTTGACGCAGAGTGAGTTCCTTAAGTCATGAGATAAGAACATATTTGACAGTTCTTTACTTTTTTCAGTCGGGATCGGTGGGACTTTTACAAGGAGTACATCCAAAGTTCGTTCGAGTTGCTTAAACTTTCCCCTCAAACTGAAGAGAACGGGGAAAAGGATTCATTGGCCAGATGTCAGGAATTCCTCCAGGGCATCATAGATTCCTCGGAGCGAAAGAAACGGGGTCCCTATCTGGCGCGTTTAGAGCTCCACCAGCGCATGCGAGCAGACCAACTGCCAGCGGAAAAGCTCATCGGTGACTTTGACGAAATGGTCATAGAGTACTTCCGTCTGTTTGGCGACAAATCATGCTGCACCCATGATATCGCCTTGTTCTTGCCTTCGATTAGCATGAAGCAGCGACAGGCACTGGCCAGCAAGCTGCTGCTGGAAAGCGGAGTCACCTCCACGTCGCTTCCGAAGAATGTAAGTAAAGAGAAGCTTTCAGGTGTTACCTTTGAATTTAATGGTTTATACGAAATCCCCACAGAAAGAGCAGTTGCAGAAGCATCTGTGTGCTCTGCAAATCTCTCGGATGTGCGGTTCTCACATGGAGCTGCCCGTGGACCACCTGCTTGCCTTCTATACGAACCTCAAGCTGCACTACGAGCACGGCCGCAGTACTTTCGGCAAGAAGCTGCTGGCCACGGAGATGGGACCATCGGATGCATACGCCTTGCTGGCAGCAAATGTGATGTACGACCTGAGTAGACGAGAAAATAAGTCGGATCACCTGTTCGAGGCGCTGTGCTTGCTGCAGTACGTGCTGCGAAACAGTACGAGTAACTTCCACGTGAAACTGCTGAGTCTGAAGATCTACCATCTGTTCGGCTGCCAGGTGGGTGCCCAGGAGATGTATGAGTACCTGGACATCAAGCAGATCCAGCTGGACTCGATGGGCTATGTGCACTGCCAGCTGCTGCCCCTGGGCGGTCGCTTCTCGGGTACCCGGAATGTATACGATGCCACTCTGAAGTTCTTCACCAACAGCTACAAGGAGCGGTTAGAGTACATTGCTTTGACCTATCGCTTCTGCACGTTTTCCAAGATGGAGGAGTTCATGAACTTTAAGGAGCGGTTGACCAATAGCTTGCAATACGTGGCCTGTTCAGTGGAGGCGCAGATTTGCGACCTGGTCAGTTGTTATGGCAATATCCAACAGAATCTGACGGCATATGCCGCCATGAGCATTGAGCCGGCGGAGGATCGGATTGCCTGGCATGAGTTGAGCGACAATCGTGACTTGGAGGCCGTTATCCGCTGGGATCCTCTGCACGAGGTTAATGCTGCGGAGGAGCGCAAGGAGTCCTTCGACCAGGAGGTTGAGGTTCTTCAAGTGCGCTCCCTGATGCTCCGACTGTTTGCCTCTTTTGTTGACCTGTATCACGGCCCCAGCTCGAAAGAATCGCCAGCGGGCGAGGAAGCCGCCACCCTGGAACTTCTGCGGGAGTCCTGGACGGGATTATTCCAGCGATTGCGTCTCATGAACTACACTCCGTTGGCGCAAAAGTTTCTAGTCAACCTGCTGCCCACACGCCTTCACCTGCTGCTCGATCTGCCATACGAACGATTCTTTGACGACCTGGCCCAGTTGGTCCTGGACCTGCAAAGCGGATCTGGAAAACTGGCCGAGCAGTGCAAGCGGGTGGGTGACAACGTCATTACGGTAATGGAGCTGTGCGTGCAGACCATCAATGAGAGCAACGAGTGGAACGGCATGGATGGTCTTTGGAAGCGACGGGGGCAGCAGCAGAAAGTGGCTGCCAGCCTGGAGGTGAGTTCTAGTTCTAACATCAATGCAACCTTTTATCAAACAAGCCATTGCTATTCCAGATGTTATCCCTCTATGCCTTCCTGCTGTCCGTGCTAAACGACAAGCTGCAGGTCAGCTCAAAGGCCAAGACCAAGAAGAGGCCGGTGGACAACAAGGTGGATGGACCCCAACCGATTAGCGAGAAGGAGCGAAGTCAGATGCTGCAGGAGCTGATGCGACAGCTTAAGCACAAGCTAGAGGCCTGCGATGCGGCCATACGTAAGTAACTCTAGAAAGTGTCCTGAGATGAATTACATCTGACTTCCTTCCTTAATCCTCAGGCACCTGGAAGGCGCCAGTGCTGCCGCGCGACCTCAGCTCCTTCATGTCCGACATGTCGCTGAAGCCAGAGGTGGAGGCCACGCTCATCGGCGACGTCTCGGCCACCTTCAAGGACTCCCACGAGCTGATGGTCACCGAGCTACGCAATCTACTAAAGGACAAAATACGCATGGTAGCCAAGTAGATGCCTCTTTGCTGTGCAAAGGCCATCAGCCAGTCCGGCCATCGTTGCCCCAATCACGATCCAAGTTCATAGTTTGTTATTTAATTTTGTTAACGAATACAACCGACCTCCTACTCCAACTGCACTACAATTATCTCGAACTAAAGAGCCAAGTCAGCACTTTTCAATCAATTTTCGGCATTTCCCTCGTACAACAAATAAGAAGTTGTAAAATTTGTGAAACAAAAATTAAAAAAAGGACAAAGCAAAGAAAAAAGATTGCGTACCGCTTGCAAGTAAGTTAAATAAAAGAAGAAATTGTAAAAAATGTACAACAAAACAGTGTTTTTATTTTATTTGTGTTATCAAATATACAAAGTATCAAGTTATTGTATACTTGGAAGATTAACTGCTTCTAGAAAACTCTAATTCGGTGTCAAACTTATATTTACACTTTTGTAATAGGTGTGTCTTTGAGGAAGCTTTTGACTTTTATGTTCTATCAGTATTATTCGAAAGAGGTAAAACGTCCTAAACATCAGTTGCAGTACTTCCCATTTTGAAGGTGCTCAGATAGGCTGGTAGTCGTGGATCATTTAGATGCTGTTGAGTCTGCAGATGAGCCACCAGATTGTGCATGCGGGCAAAGGTCTTGCTGCAGAGTCGACATCTAATGAAATAGAAAGAAACTGGTTGGTAATAGCAAGAGATTAATCGAAATTTCTAATGATTTACGTGTGAGGTCTTTCTCCTGTGTGTGTTTTGTAGTGCATTTTTAGGACACTAGCATAGGTAAATGTTTTTCCACAGGTTTTACAGCCATAGGGACGCTCGTTTCGATGAGTTCTGTAGGGGATATATAAATATATGAGTATCAAGTGATGGGGAATTTTTAATAAATGATCTGGTTACTTTTACCTTTCATGCTTCACAAGGGAAGTGCGATCAGCGAAGGTGCGATGGCAATATTGGCAGGTGTATGGTCTGGCCCCCGTGTGCTGGCGGATGTGGCGCTTCAACTGGTAGTTGACGTGGAAGCTCTGGTGACAGATCCTTAAAATAAGCTTATTATATAGTATGCACTTATACAGAAAACTGGGGTATCCACACACTCGCATTCGTAGGGTCGCTCATTGTTGTGCCTTCGCATGTGGCTATCCAGGGTACTCTTCCTGGGATATCCATTGCCACAAATCTCGCACACATGGAGTTTGGGGGTGACTGCAGAAGGAGTTGGGAAAGAAGGCAGAACTGGAGCTGGAAGCAGTTGCACGGCCAGAACCATGGGCTTCTCCTTCTCCGCAAGTAGAGGTTGTGGTGTTTCCTCGATCAAATCTTCGGCAGACCAAGCTCCCTCTTCGAGCACCTCCACCTCCAGTTGTTCGAATTGCTCCGATGCCGCAGGTGGAGGAGGAGTGGGATCCGGAGTATTAACCACTTGCTCCACTGCATCCTTTTCCGCTTCCTCCACTCCATCATTTTCCATTTCCTCTACTCCATTCTTTTCCACTTCGCCCATTGAATCCTTTGCCACTGCATCCTTTACCACATATTCCCTCAGAAACTCATTGGAGCGCTGACAAATCTGTCGGAATTTGTGGGCCAGGGTTAGGAATGCTTTGCATCTCAGGCATATCCTGGTGGGCAGGACCTCCTCCTCCGTGGGCTTTATCTGCAGGTTAAGATTCGGTATTACTTATGAATATCTCGGCTAATAAAAAGATCCCCACCTGAATTCCACTTAAACTTTCAATTTTCTCGCACAGGGAAATGCCACCGCGCAGCTTATCATCACCTCCCTCGTAAATGGACACCATGTGGGCCTCGCCATCCTGCAGGCAGGTCCTGCACAGGGTCAGCATGTCCAATCTTAGCTCCATTTAAAATCAAACAAATGTCCTGTCCAAAATTAACGATCAAAATAACACTGCTTCTTCTTTGCTATATTCCCATTCTTCGATATTTATCGACAGGCCCCTTGCCATTCGCCCCGAAGCCGCACAAATTTTAATTGTTTGTTTTGGTCAGAAAATACTACTATTTACTTGTGATAACAGAAGGTTGCATCCCGAAATGGAGAGTAAGGACCTGCAATGTCGCATCTGCTGGCTGACGCCGAAGGACGAGTCCCTCATGCCCACAGAGATGGATTTTCTGGATCAAATCAAACGCTGCACGGGGGTTGAGGTGGGTTTTCAAATGGGTCTGTTATGTTTCATCTTTATCCAGTAAATGCGGGATTTCTCATCCCCAGCTGAGTGAGAGTTTTAACTGGCCCAATCGCATTTGCACCAGCTGCGCCTTGCTCCTCAGGGCGGCGCTCAAGCTGCGATCCCTTTGCCAGGAGGCGGAGAAGAAGCTACAGGAGCTGGCGGAGAAGGAGGTGCAGGCGCTGGCGGAGAAGGAGATGCTGGAGCTGCTGGAGAACGACCTACACGAGCAGGCGGAAACAGAGCTGCGGGAGTTTCACATACAGATTGTTCCCGAAGACCAGGAGAGTGCCTCCAAAGATCCGCGCAGCGACAGCGAGGTGGAATACGAGTACCTGGAGTCCTACGATGTGACGCTGGAATGCAGCGAAGATGCAGCCTGTAGTGCCGATGAAATGGTCAGCATAGAGCCGGCTAACTCCGCGCCAGAGGAATCTGCCTATTCACTCAGTCCCAAACCGGAAGCGGGAGAAGAAGATGACTCCGGTCCGGATCCCTCCTTTGCCTGCACAAGATGCCACAAAGTCTTCTCGGAGCTGGTCAAGTTGAACACCCACATGAAAGTCCACCTTACAGAGAAGCCACACGAGTGCGAGTAAGTTGGGATAGAGATTATTTTTCTACCGAATACAATTGAATGTCCTTTTCTTTAAGAATTTGCCAAAAGCGATTCCGACAGACTCCACAGCTGACGAGGCACATGAACACGCACACCGGCAATCGACCCTACAAATGTGATTACTGCGACTCACGGTTCGCAGATCCATCCACGCGCATCAAGCATCAGAGGTGAGAATAACTATTGTTAAATAAACTACAAAGTGTAATCCAATCTCAACCGAAATACCCTTTTAGGATCCACACAAATGAACGACCGTACAAATGCAAATTCTGCAGCAAGTCCTTCGCCTACTCCAACGTCCTACGGGTTCATCTGAAGACCCACACAGGAGAGCGTCCCTTCAGCTGCCAGTACTGCCAGAAGACCTTCTCCCAACTGCACCACAAAAACGCCCATGAAAAATCGCACAAGCATACAAAAGAAGGGGAAACGTGGGAGTGACCTGTGCGAAACATTTAGTACAAATGAATCAAAATTTTCTTTGACATCTTTGTTTTTCAGAGATTTTAAAACTAACCACAAATTTTAATTATTTGAAAATTAGGAAAGGAAACCTCTCATTAAATGTGTAAGTAAAATAAAACATTTGCATAATTAATAAGACAAAAATAGTACACTATTTTTTTATTAAAAGTAATATTTTAAGTAGTTAATTATGTACTATATACATGAAAAATTTCACCATTTCACTATTCAACGTGAAAACTCGGCTTTTAAATGTAAATCCAAGCTTACACTGTTTAATGGAAGAGCTATAACAATGGCATTCAATCCTAAAACTAAAGTGTCTTATCCATATCAACATAAAGAAAATGCCCTTATTTGGTTAAGTATCCTGGGGGTAGTTAGCTGAGAAATTCCGGCGCCTCCTCCTTGACTGCTTCTCCCTCGGGGCTGATCTCCACATCAGGTCTAAATTGACCGCGTCTCTCGTGCGTTCCACGATGCAATCGCATCTTGTAGGCCTTCACAAAGCCCTTGCCGCAAAGATCACAGCTACAAGGGGATGGTGGTTATTCAGGGAATCACTTTTAATTCAGGTAAATACTAACACATGCGGCTTCTCGCCCGTGTGAATCATCTTATGGAACTTCAGATTGTCCGAGTAGGTAAAGGTTCTAGAGCAAACATCGCACTCGTAGGGACGCTCCTTGGTGTGAATTCTGGCGTAGATTCATATTTTGTTAGATTTATTTAAATTGAAGATGTGTCACTTACCTATGATGTTTGGTTTTGGTGGATCTGTCGGCGAAGGCAGCTGGACAGTAGTTGCATTTGTAGGGACGGTTTCCGGTGTGCGTATTCATATGGCGCACCAGCTGCTGGTTCTGGACAAAGCCTCGTCCGCAGATCCTGCAAGAAATACATTGTTATAACCCTACTCTTACTATTTATATCACATTTCAGACTCACTCGCACTCGTGCGGCTTTACGCCGGAATGAAACTTCATGTGCTCCGTGAGACGGGCCTGAGTGGGATAGATGTTTCCGCACACGTCACAGATGTAGGGGGTCAGCTTGTTGCGTGGCTTTCTGCCCAGCTTCTTTTTAGCGGGCTCATCCTCTGGGCTGTTCTTACGGACTGGAGCTATCTTCCTGCTCGATCGCTTGCGACTTGACGACTTTGTAGGCGCTGGCTTGCCCTCGGGGACATAACTTTCATCGGAGCTGAGTATGTCTTCGGTCAAGTCGTCATAGGGACATCCTTCTGTTGCCAGCTTTGTAAGGCTAGAGGGATTTTCCTGGCTGATTTCAGTCGAGTTCTCGCTGGTGAGCAATTCATACTCCTCGTACACTGCATCCCCCTCCTCAATCACATTCTGCTCCCCATCAAAGACCGCTTGGTCGGGATCCTCCTCATCAAACATAATAGTATCGCCACCATCGGCATCCTCCATAACATAAGTGATAACCTGCTGCTGCTGTTGCTCCTCCGGTTGGAAATCACTCTCCTCCACCTTGAAACCGCCATCCATCTGGCTGGCGTCCTCCTCCCAAGTCTTGACCACGCTCTCCACCGTCAGGTCGTCCGAGAGGTTAAGCATATCATCGTCGCCGGCGGCACTGGAATTACTGGCCTCCCGGAGTAGCATGTCCATGATGTGCTGGTGGGATCGCTGGCAGGTCAGACGGAACTTGTAGCACAGCCGCAGGCAGCGCACGCACTTGCTGCACATCTTGTCCGGGAATTTGTCGTCCAGGCTGACCTGTGGGATGAAAAGGAGGTACTTAAAAACGCCACTTTAGCCTGGGATTCCTACTTACGGGGATGCCTGCGCATATGTGCAGCATTTGGTCAAGGCGAGTGCTGGCTGTCTGGCTGAATATCTCGTGGAGGGGGTCTTCGCCTTCGCCGGGATTGTTCAGGCAGACGCGGCACACCACCCACTTCTCGTTGGACTCCGTTTTCATGGCCAAGTCTCTGTATTTATTATTATTCTGACGCAGTTTCGGTCCTTGCAAATAAATTACAAACAGCTGAATGCAAGCGTCCGCCGCAGGCCATTCACAGCGAAACGCGGTCTTCTCAGTTGATACAGTGAATATCGGAAAAGAACGGAAGTGCAATAACATTATAAATAAATTGCTTAGGGGGAAAAAAATTACTTAAGAATCCTTAAGACCGGGAAAAATTTTAAAATTTTAATTTAAGAACTTGCCTTCAAAGGCTTTAAACTAAACATATAGCATAAACATAAACTAATCATAAAGCAAGTAAGGAGTTTGTTAAAACTTATCACTTAGTTGAGTGTTTTTAATAGTTCACTAATAGTTTAATTTGTTATATTTTAGTTTAGTGTTTTTATATGATTACAAAATTAGTTATGGTTATATCTTAACAGCATTTAATAACACACCAACTTTAAAAGAGTAAACACTTTTAAATTTTATTAGTCTACTAGTGTGGACTGTTTTGTTTAAAGTTTAAGGATGTGTAATATATTAAGAAAATGGAAATAAACATTTAATGATATTCATCTCTGATGCATTCAGAATCCATGTTTATTTATATTTTTATTTACCTTTTGAACGAAACACCCCTAACGCGAGAGCCGCCGATGCCGTGGTCACCCTGTGCAGCCGCTATTCGCGTTGCAACGCCACCATCTTGGCTCCAGACTACACTATATTTTTTTGGCGTCGTCTTCATCCAGCGAGCGTGTTCATCGAAATATACAAGCGGATCATAGCTACTTCGAATAGATCTACCCTCTATTCGCGACAATGAGAGACTCGGCGGCACAAGCGAGTCCGGCGGCGGCGCCTGCGACCACGCAGAAGTGGATCGTCTGCCGGGTTTGCCTGCAGCAGCCAAAGGAGCCCATGGCCAGCATTTTCAACGACGATTCCGAGAAGGACCTGACCAACATGATCCGCGAGTGCGGCGGAGTGCCCGTAAGTGTGTCCCATTATTCCGTAAACTGTTTTGTATCCATTTTATACCCCTGGCAGATCAAGCAGTTCGATCACTATCCGGATAAGATATGCGAGAAGTGCTTCAGGGTGCTGAAGATGGCATTCAAGTTCCGGGAGACCTGCCAGCGTTCCTACGGCCATCTGCGGCAGTTCGTGGGTCCCGTGGAGGTGGAGCAGCGAACGCCGGAGAAGAAACTGGAAGAGCAAGCCCCCAAACTGGAGCAGGAACCCGAGGAGGCCGAGCAGCAGCAGCAGGACCACGACGAGGAAGAGGAGGAGGAGGACCTGGACGAGAGTCAGTACGCCGAGGGCGAGGCGGAGGAGTCCGCGGAGGCCCAGGGCGGCGTCTTCCACGACGACATGGAGGAGGGCATAATTGTGGAACTGGAAAAGGATCGCATTGTGCATGTCAAGAGCGAGCAGGTGGAGGAGGACGGCATCATCGAGGAGGTGTACGACGTGTACGAGACCTACGAGGGCGACATTCTCGCCGAGCAGGGCGGCTACGACCAGGAAATGGCCGATCAATCCCTATCCGAACTATCAGCGGACATCGAATACTTGGAGCAGGTTGATCAGGATCAGTTGACCGAAAGTGCCCACGAGGACGACGCGGATGGAGATATGAACTCCACCGAGGAGGAGTTCCTGCCCACCAAAAGTGTTCGAGCATCCATCAATGCCAGAGGAGCCACCAAGCGGAGAGCGAATCCCCGCAGATCAGCCACATCAACTGCATCGGTGGCTGCTGCATCGGGAACCTCCAAGTCAACCGTCCGCGCAAATCTGCTCAAAGTCCGGCGAACTAACAATGATGCGGCCACAACCAAGATCGTCATCAACTCCGACGAGGGCGTATCTATTGGCGAGGTGCTGGCGCGGAAGCATTCCGGAATCAAAACCAAGGGCGGCCATAAGATACTCGTCGGCGACAAGAAGGAGTTTAAGTACATCTGCGATGTGTGCGGGAATATGTATCCCTCCCAGAGTCGCCTCACCGAGCACATCAAGGTCCACTCAGGTGTAAAGCCGCACGAATGCGAGTAAGTCTACAAATTATTCGTCAGTATATGTGTCAGCTAAAGGTGCTAGAGAAAAATCATTATAAACTCAGAATGGTTTCTTATATTTCCGATTCCAGTTTTCGCTGAATTTATTATTCCCTAAAACATTCTTTTCCGATTTTTAATGTTCCACCTAAATTCAAATATTAGATGTGACATCTTAAGAAAGTGTCTTCAATTGATCTTTGTAGTAGCCTGAGAATTGTACACGTTACTTTTTATCCTAAGATTATTTTTACCAAGTAAGCCAATCTTAAGCTAAATTTTTTTGTTTTCAGAATCTGTGGGCACTGCTTCGCTCAGGCCCAGCAATTGGCCCGTCACATGAACACCCACACTGGAAATCGGCCGTACAAGTGCAGCTACTGCCCGGCAGCCTTTGCGGACCTGTCCACTCGAAACAAGCACCACAGGTGAGTTGATTATCCCGTATCAACTCTGGATTTGATTCTAATAAAATTCTCCTACAGGATCCACACCAACGAGCGCCCCTACGAGTGCGATGTGTGCCACAAAACATTTACGTACACCAACACCTTGAAGTTCCACAAGATGATTCATACGGGAGAGAAGCCACATGTGTAAGTACTGCTTTCCCCTCGCAAATACAGTCTAACTTCTTTAGCACGAACTTTCACTATTTGAGACTGGGCTTTTCTAATAATAAAGGGATCCTCAATTCCTGAACACTAAAATTGATAACTCTGTTTAGTTAAATAACTGTAATGCAGGAATTTATAAAAAATTAACAGATTACCTTTTTTTTATAGCGTTTCCATTTTCAATCAGTAATCGGATCTAAAGAAAACTTGTATAATTTTTTGAACAATAATAATATATTTTAATAAAATAGATTTTATAAATGCATTATATTAGTTCTATAAAAATGTTAGGCCTTACATTGTTAGTACTAATGAAAGAGCTAAGCTATTTCACAATATGTATTTCCTATGATAATTACGTAATATTTAGCGTTCCATTGATGGTTTATGGAGTGGCAAAGAGATATTGAACTAAAGTAAAAGTATAATATAGATAAGAGAATTCTTACATAAGTCTTTTAAATTATACAAAGATAATCAGGAGCTCACAATTCCTTAAAACCACTCCCCACTAATTTATCAAATTTCCCCTTTTATTTCAGTTGCGAAGTATGCGGCAAGGGCTTCCCGCAGGCGTACAAACTGCGTAACCACCGGATCATCCACGAGCGACGCGGTCAATCCACACGCGAAGCCGTGGGCGGTCTGCTGCCCTACGACTCGGCCAACATTGTGGGCCTGGAGATGTAAACTTCTAGCGAGGACTCCTCGTCGTCCCAAAGCGACACTCTAAACATTAAACAGACACACGCGTGTAATTACACATCTAAGTATATTGATGAAATTTAAGCCTAGCCTAATTATGCGGAAATAAATTAAGTATAGCTGCGCAGATGGTCTTGGCGTCGGTCTCCTCAGGATAGAGCTGCAGCACGGCGTGCACTTGGTGCGGCGGAAACAGGCTGCCCAGGTGATAGCGGAGCAATCGGCGCTGCTCCTCCCGTGGCAGTTGCTGCGAGGCGTGCAGTTCCTCGTTGATGCGCGAATCGGAGGCGGACAGATGGGCGAAGTTGTGAGCGGGCAGTGGCAGACCCAATCCCTGATCCGTGACCGGGGCGGATGGCGTGCGCGTCAGATACTGGTGGTGATAGTTGGAGCTGGAGTTGGACTGTTGATGCTGCTGCTGCACCTGCTGCTGTTGCTGCAGGGGAGCACTGTAGGTGGGCACCAGGAGGCGATAGGCAGGCGGCGGCTGTTGGCGCTGCAGCTTCTTGTGGCGATTGGGCTGGCTGGACTCCATGGAGCCCTCCGAAAGCTCCATTTGAGCCGAGAAGCCCTGGCACACCTGCTCGATGGTATTGGACTTGGTGCGACCCAATGGCTCTCGGCTAATCAGTGAGTTGATCTTAACATTGTTGTTATTGCCACCCGGACTGATCATCTGCTGGCCCCCATTCGTGTGCAGCGGAGCACTGTGCGAGGCCTGGAGTGGCAGACGCTGCAGCAGCGGACCCGGATGATGCCGAAACTTGCACTTCTGCCCGTAGGTGCACTTTTTGCCATACGGGCACAACTGCTGGGCATCCGCCATCTTCTGTTGCGTCTGCGAGCACAGGAACAGATCGAGATTGGGACCTGATCTGCCCAGCGGATCATCGGGTGGCATGAAGATGTCATTGACAAACGAGTACATCAACAGGCGTTCCTGCACCACGCGCCGGAACTCGTTGCTCTCCAGGATCAGATCCCTGTAATTGTCGTTGGACACCACAATGCCATCGGTTTCCACGGCCAACTTGAGTATGAAACGGTCATCGTAGCAGGACACCCGCTTGCCGTCCAGATGTCGCGATGGCGTGAACACCAGGAACCTTTCGTGTTCCAGTTCGTAGAGCAGCTCCTGGTCGGCGATGTTGTTGTTGGCCATCTCCTTGCGCCAATTCGGCACGAAGGCGGTGATGTCGCGATGCCCTCGCTGCCGGAACCAGTCCACACAGATGCGGATGCCGCGGCAGGAGAAGATCAGGTTGTTGCCGTGCGACAGGGCAACATTGCTGCCATCGATGACGATGTGTCGCAGGCCAGAGATGCTGCTGCTGCCGACGGTGGTGGTGGTGGCGGAGGAGGAGATGGTGGCTGGATTACCAGCGCCTACGGTGTGGGCGGGTCGTGGTGCATCCGCCGTCAGCTTGATCAGCTCCGCCAGCAGCTCGTTCTGCTTGGCCTCCGAGCCCAGACGCGTCAACGCCGAATGGATGGACTGTTCGCTGTAGCCCAGCTTCTTGGCGAACTCCAGATTCTGGCGCTCCGTCGTCCGGCTGGGACTCTCATCGTCGTCGGAGCAGCTCTCCTGCTTTCTCACTGGCAACTTGTTGCTGCTGCCGTGATGTTGTTGCTGCTGGTGCTGCTGTTGCTGTTGTTGTTGCTGCTGTGGCTGATGTTTTTGCTGCTCCTGCACTTCACAATTCATTTTGATGCGCATTTAAGTGACCAGCGGCTGGCTTTCCTTCGGCTGCTCGCTTCTGGTGTCTCGGGACTCCAATTCGTTGGGTTTTTAGCTGTCTCTGCAGCAAGTTCCGTCTATTTACATTTACAGACTTCCGTGTTGTTGTTGTTTTTGTTGGTGCTTGCTGGTGGGCAGTGTGACCGCAGGCTGAGCACTCAGAAATACATCCCTGCTGCGCTACCAAACGCTGGTCACATAGCGATTTTTGAAAATAGTGCTCTTTTAATAATTAAGAAAATATTATGGTATTAATAACATTAAGCTAAGTGCTTACTTATTTAAAACAACACATAGTTAGTACCAATGTTTTTTTAAATCTTTAAACAAAACAATTTTTAAAATTGTTGTTCATAATATATAATTAGAACCATTTTTAAATCTTAAAAAGTTAAGTCCGAACAACATTTTTAAAACTTTAATTTTAAATATTTTTAAGGAAAAATTTTTTAGTCTTAAAAAAGATAAAATTAAACATTTTATAAATGTTTTATAAAAATAATAATAAACACATTTTTAGGCTCCATTTTTACATTTTTCATTCAAAAATCAAAGTTATTTTGTGCTTTATAAATCAAATCAATCAATCAAACATATTTAAGGAGAATAACTCTCATAAAATCCATCAAACAATATTACCCATACGCCTTGTAGGCTAGTTGAAATCAACCTTTTTTTAATGGCAAAAAATATGACTCCTCTTTTTAGGTAACCAAACTTTTCAGCTGATCATTAATGACCAGTTCCAAATTAACTCATCCAAGTAAAAAACGAGACATTTTAAATATATATTTCCGTATTTATTTGCTAATATTCAAAGTAACAATATTATGTCAGATGTTCGAATAAAATCCCAGTTTGAGTTCAATAACACGCATAAACATTTCTTTATTGTATTGTTGTACATAAAGTATATATATCGTATATAGTTTTAACAATTTTCACACTACTATATTAACATTTATAGATCTCACTTAGTTAGATTTAATTAGTTAAAATAAAGTACACGTTTTTTTCGTATTGAATTCTTTGTTTCATTGTACGTTTGGTCCCCCTTTTCATGACAAAAAAGGATGCACTGCCCTCGAATTAGCTACAAATTCAATAGTTTACTAGGTATAAGTGGTCACATCTATCTTGGTTACATAGATATCTATATGCTACGCCCGAAGTGCAATTGGATAAATGCATATACAATACACAATACGTCCCATCCAGCGACACTAAAGTAATTTCATTAATTTCGTTTCGTCCTGGAGCGTCCTTTCATCTTTGGCCAAGTCATGTGGCAATTAGTGAGACAGCCATACATAAAGAAAAAACTATAAAACCGGACGTAAAGTTGACTACGTGTGCTATGGGAGGTTTTTTTTGGGTGGTTGTGTATCTGAGTCCGCTTAAAAAGTAACGAGTCATTCTTTTCGCACGCAGCGAAAGTGAGTTTCCCTTCAAAGGATAAAGGATAAGGATGCATTTTAAGTTGCGAGCCGTAACCCTTGCCCCCCGAAACCCAATTTTTTCCTAACTCAGACACACGACAGTGCTAAAATTTGTGCTCTGCGTGTTCTAGCAATCTTTCCTTTTTTATTATGGACGTCGTAAAATTTATTGTTGCTCTTTGAGCGTGTCTGGGTTTTTATGCTGGGATTTTTCTTGCTTAACGGGTAATTAGTAAAGTTTTTTCCTTTCCATATTCCGCTTTCCATGGCTATTGTTGATGATAAACTATTAAAGTACATTTCGGTGGTTGAGTGTCAAGTTAACTTTTGTGTTCGGTTTGTGGTCAAAGTTTTGTGTTGTGAAAAGTAGGGATTTATTCAAAGGGTTCAAAAATGTGTTCTATGAATAACTCATGAGAAACTTAAGCTGCTTGAAAGGGTTAACAAGAACTTTAACAAATTCTTCTATATCAACTTTAAAAACAAAAGAAGGGAGAATAACCTAATATATATAAAAAGAGCAGTAAAATTATATGACAGGAGCAATTCGCCAAATGTATGAGTAACCATCCTAATAAAAATACATTTTCCAGACTTCACTTGAACTGAAGCGTTCTTTCATCATAAATCCTTCAACGTAAAATCGTCTCAGAGTTAATTTTCCATGTCAATAGACCTATTTGGTCATAAGTAATTCGTCTGGCTTTGCCCTAAGAGCCCTGTAGCCGCAGGATCTGAGAGGACTTGGTCTCCACGTGGTTGCCAGGCAATTGATGAGCTCTCATCATGGCCTGCCAATTTGTCAAACGATAATTTCTGGTCCAACGAACTTTGTCATTTATCAGTTGTTTAATTTTTAAAAGCACCACGAAAATCGACTTATTTGTTTGCTTTTAGGCCTCTTGATGTGCCTAAAAAAGCAGGAAAAACAACAAAATGCCTCGAAACCGATGACGGAGGTTGTCTAAGCTGATTAACATTGAGTTCCCGACACATGGCCAAAAAGGCGGATGTGTGTTGGTTTTATATTGTATTTTTTTTTTGGGGGATGTGAGCCGGAATAGATATTTTTGTGGGCCTTCCGGGCGTCGATGTGAGCTTTAATTTATGACCACCCCCTAGTTTGGCCAGAAGGATCTTTAAATGTGGTCCATTTTGCTCTAATTTAATGGCAACTCTTTCTGGCCTTTATCTCCGACTCGGAATCGCTTTGCTACCACGGAATCGCTGGGTGATTTCCTTTATTGTTCCTTTACGCTTTGTCCGTGTGCACTGCACCCAGTTTCCGTTGCTGTTTTTATTATTTCAGCCTCGAGCTACGGTCTTGAACCCATCCAAAAAAAAAGAAATGAAACCCAGAAAAGCAGACAAAAAGGCCAACAAAAAAGGGGATATAAGAAAGTCACTCACTAGCTGCAAATGTCTCCCTGGTCCCTGTCCATTGGTTGGTTAAATGCTCCCGCGCTGTCAATATCCCAAATTGGAATATGTGTGTAAAACTACACAGAGAAAAAAGTCTAAGTATATAACTTATATACCTTAAAAGCACTTAAAATACGAAAAACAAGTACAATTTTAAAAATTCTTCAAGCGATTCAGGTTGATAATGATTTATAAAATTAATTTACCATTAAAAACTTAAATAATGTTGGTATTTTTGTTTAAAAAAAAATTAAAGTAATATTAACATTTTAATAATCCTACTGCGTTCATTTTTTTTTCGGTTTTGATTAAAGTAGATTCAAATTTAAAAAAATTCCCTTTTAAGATTGCATATTTTTGAAATATTTAGCATTAATAAATGGAACTGTAATAGTTGTGGTCTGTTTTAGCTGTAATACATATTTTCAAAATTAACCAGCTTATGTCGTTTGTAAATTTTCACTTTTTACAAAATAATTGAAAAATATTTAATTTTTTTAAAGATTAAAAATTGATTATTTTTTTACTATTTGCTTTAAATAAAGTTGAATCAAGTTAAATAAATATAAGTCAAAGTTTTAAGATCTCTATATGACTATTCTCTTTTACACTTTTCTCTACTGGTTACAACATTTTCTCTCCGTGTACATATGTACAATGTTTCCAGCATTCAGTTTGGGGCAACAATATCGACACAGCGCACTTGCAAAAGTATCGCTTATATTTCTTTCGGCCCCATTATTCCGTGGTGTGAGGTTTCGGTTGGCTCTTTTTTATTATTCCTCCTCGGTTTGACAAACAAAAGGTTGCTGCATGGTGGAATTCGAGCGAATTGCATTTTAAATTGAAATGCCCGGGTGCGGCATAAAAACTCGAATTTATGAAAGTCTTAAAAAGTCAGAATTGTCTGAAGCAGCGCACAAATAGTAAAGAATTTAAAAAGGCCAAAAGCTTACATATCCTTTGTGTTGATTATTTTTTCCCTAACGATCAAGGAAAATACGAAATGGCAAAATACAAACGCCTAATTGGCTGGACAAATGTCAAGTGCCAGGCGGCACCCACTGTGCACAGTGGGCAAACAATAGAGCCATGCTTCCTGGCACTTGAGAAAAACTGCAACTGTGGCAAAAAACCAACAAAGATGCCGGAGAACGTTTAAACAGCAGAAATTCCACTGCTTTCCGATTTGTGTACGTGTCTGGCGGGGATTTTGGGTTGGGGGAGAGAGAGGATCCTCTTGGTTGGCTGCAGCCACTCTGGGTTATTTTTGTTGGCCAACTAAATCGTCAACGTCAACATTGTCGCATACCGTGTTGACATTTAGCCTTGCAGTGCCACCGCTGCAAGGAAGAACAAACACAGGACGAAAAGAACGGAAGCCCCATCCTTCGATATTCCGGAAAGGAGGGGGGAGGGGGAAGAATTCGAACCCCTTAGGCGTTGATATAGTACTCCCGCTTCTTCTGGCACTTCTCATACGCAATGTAGCACAGGGCGATGGTGATGAGCACCAGTATGGTAATCCCCATTATGATGCTGACCAGTATAATCTCATCGTTGATGCTCTTGTACGAGTGACCTGAAAAAGATAGCAAAAACAAGCGAAAGAAACAAGATTTAGAGGCCTCGCTAACAAATTACAGGCAATTATTCTTGTCAGGTGGGTTAAATGGGTGGCTTCCCTGCTGTTGTTTGCCAATCCACAATACGTATTTTTTTAAGGGCTCAGCACATGCATATTCAAACAATACGTAAAACCAAAAAAATTTAGCCGGACCATGACAAATGCAGTGTTGTAAAGAATAAATGATGGCCATATGCCAGAAGCAATCTGGATGACAACCCACGCACACACAACAGAGACATAAAAGCTTGCAATAAACAAAAATAATACGAAAATTGGATTTGCAATTCGCATTTTTACAACAGCAGATGTTCCAATATTTTACGATCTCCCCACACATGGCGTTGGATTATTAACGCAATTATCGGGGCAACAGTATGCAAAAAGCCTGCCTGGGATTAAGTTTTAAGCTTGATTTACATACAATTAAATTAAAGGTAAAAAGCAGGCTTAACGATTTGCACAAATGGTAAGTGACAATCATATAAACAAAAGCTGCTAAAGTTTAATCAAAAAAATACAAAATATTGAAAAAGTTTGAACTTAATACGGTGAACTTCCACATCTTACATTTTTGTTTTTTTTAAGTACCTACTATTCTACTCCCAAAAAACAGAAAGTTAAGATTAAATATCGGTTGTTTTGAAAGTATACCA